AAATAAAGAGCCGATGTAACATCATAGGGTCTATGTTAATCAAACACATGCATGAGGAATCTAATCATTTATGTGGAAAACTACCAATGTCAGGATTTAAATAAACAATCTGATCTAGATTTGGTAGCTTCTGAATATTTGTTGTGAATGATACTCTATGGTTTTATTGGAATGTTTATACGAATAAAATGCTCTGTCAGGATACAGAGGTTATACAGACAGACTGCTATTAATATTAATGGTTCATAGAACTATTTCCAGAAAGTAGTTTTCTATACTCAAAAACATTATATTATCTCTATATTTACACTGATGATGCCTCCATACTCCATGGAGATTAACTCAGCAACAAGGCTATTACATTAAAATGGTATAAAATACCGACAGGTTGTTAGGTAAGACACATATGCAACAGTTAGGTATCTTTATTTCGAAACGTTTCGCCTACACAGTAGGCTTCTTTCATACTATGGAACAATGCTCTTCTCCAGACTGAGGGACTGACCACCTCAAAACTTTAAGGGTGATGGACTGATTACATCGTCTTCAAGTATCTTCTGCTTCTATCAACTTTTCTGTACTCGACTGAAGAAGCCTACTGTGTAGGCGAAACGTTTCGAAATAAAGATACCTAACTGTTGCATATGTGTCTTACCTAACAAGGCTATTACAGAAAATCCCCAAGGCAGCTTTATCAAAACATTATCTTTAGTTCACACACACTGTTAAGTAACAAATGTCAGCTACAATCTTCTTCATAAATGCTCCTAAACATTTCATTAGTATATTATATGTCAACACAAATCAGAAAATGGGTGGGACTTGAACCCATGGCAAGTGACTCTTACAACTAACAACCCATAGCAAGTGACTCCTAAAACTAACAACCCATGCCAAGCGACTCCTAAAACTAACAACCCATGCCAAGCGACTCCTAAAACTAACAACCTATGCCAAGTGACTCCTAAACTCACAGGCCAGGGCATTGTAGGACTCACTTGCCATGGGTTCAAGGCCAACCCATTCTGTGAATTATTTGCAACTGTGCCATTATGATTTCGTGAGTTATAAGTCAATACCTTGAAAAAAAAAAATCTCCAGAACCTGGAACGAGCACTTTTAGCAGATCTTGTTTAATACCCAGATAATATTCATTCTAATTCATCTATAATTATACCTAGTAGGTAGTAGGTTGGTAGACAGCAACCACCCAGGGAAGTACTACTGTCCTGCCAGATGACTGTGAAACAGAAACCTGTAACTGTTTTGCATGATGGTAGGATTGCTGGTTTCTTTTTCTGTCTCATAAACACGCTAGATAACAGGGATATCTTGCTACTCCTACTTACACTTTGGTCACACTTCACAGACACGCACATGCATATATATATACATACATCTAGGTTTTTCTCCTTTTTCTAAATAGCTCTTGTTCTTCTTTATTTCTTCTATTGTCCATGGGGAAGTGGAAAAGAATCTTTCCTCCGTAAGCCATGCGTGTCGTATGAGGCGACTAAAATGCCGGGAGCAATGGGCTAGTAACCCCTTCTCCTGTAGACACTTACTAAAAAAGAGAAGAAGAAAAACTTTATAAAACTGGGATGCTTAAATGTGCGTGGATGTAGTGCAGATGACAAGAAACAGATGATTGCTGATGTTATGAATGAAAAGAAGTTGGATGTCCTGGCCCTAAGCGAAACAAAGCTGAAGGGGGTAGGAGAGTTTCAGTGGGGGGAAATAAATGGGATTAAATCTGGAGTATCTGTGAGAGTTAGAGCAAAGGAAGGGGTAGCAGTAATGTTAAATGATCAGTTATGGAAGGAGAAAAGAGAATATGAATGTGTAAATTCAAGAATTATGTGGATTAAAGTAAAGGTTGGATGCGAGAAGTGGGTCATAATAAGCGTATATGCACCTGGAGAAGAGAGGAATGCAGAGGAAAGAGAGAGATTTTGGGAGATGTTAAGTGAATGTATAGGAGCCTTTGAACCAAGTGAGAGAGTAATTGTGGTAGGGGACCTGAATGCTAAAGTAGGAGAAACTTTTAGAGAGGGTGTGGTAGGTAAGTTTGGGGTGCCAGGTGTAAATGAAAATGGGAGCCCTTTGATCGAACTTTGTATAGAAAGGGGTTTAGTTATAGGTAATACATATTTTAAGATAAAGAGGATAAATAAGTATACAAGATATGATGTAGGGCAAAATGACAGTAGTTTGTTGGATTATGTATTGGTAGATAAAAGACTGTTGAGTAGACTTCAGGATGTACATGTTTATAGAGGGGCCACAGATATATCAGATCACTTTCTAGTTGTAGCTACACTGAGAGTAAAAGGTAGATGGGATACAAGGAGAATAGAAGCATCAGGGAAGAGAGAGGTGAAGGTTTATAAACTAAAAGAGGAGGCAGTTAGGGTAAGATATAAACAGCTATTGGAGGATAGATGGGCTAATGAGAGCATAGGCAATGGGGTCGAAGAGGTATGGGGTAGGTTTAAAAATGTAGTGTTAGAGTGTTCAGCAGAAGTTTGTGGTTACAGGAAAGTGGGTGCGGGAGGGAAGAGGAGCGATTGGTGGAATGATGATGTAAAGAGAGTAGTAAGGAGAAAAAGTTAGCATATGAGAAGTTTTTACAAAGTAGAAGTGATGCAAGGAGGGAAGAGTATATGGAGAAAAAGAGAGAGGTTAAGAGAGTGGTGAAGCAATGTAAAAAGAGAGCAAATGAGAGAGTGGGTGAGACGTTATCAACAAATTTTGTTGAAAATAAGAAAAAGTTTTGGAGTGAGATTAACAAGTTAAGGAAGCCTAGAGAACAAATGGATTTGTCAGTTAAAAATAGGAGAGGAGAGTTATTAAATGGAGAGTTAGAGGTATTGGGAAGATGGAGGGAATATTTTGAGGAATTGTTAAATGTTGATGAAGATAGGGAAGCTGTGATTTCATGTATAGGGCAAGGAGGAATAACATCTTGTAGGAGTGAGGAAGAGCCAGTTGTGAGTGTGGGGGAAGTTTGTGAAGCAGTAGGTAAAATGAAAGGGGGTAAGGCAGCCGGGATTGATGGGATAAAGATAGAAATGTTAAAAGCAGGTGGGGATATAGTTCTGGAGTGGTTGGTGCAATTATTTAATAAATGTATGGAAGAGGGTAAGGTACCTAGGGATTGGCAGAGAGCATGCATAGTTCCTTTGTATAAAGGCAAAGGGGATAAAAGAGAGTGCAAAAATTATAGGGGGATAAGTCTGCTGAGTATACCTGGTAAGGTGTATGGTAGAGTTATTATTGAAAGAATTAAGAGTAAGACGGAGAATAGGATAGCAGATGAACAAGGAGGCTTTAGGAAAGGTAGGGGGTGTGTGGACCAGGTGTTTACAGTGAAACATATAAGTGAACAGTATTTAGATAAGGCTAAAGAGGTCTTTGTGGCATTTATGGATTTGGAAAAGGCGTATGACAGGGTGGATAGGGGGGCAATGTGGCAGATGTTGCAAGTGTATGGTGTAGGAGGTAGGTTACTGAAAGCAGTGAAGAGTTTTTACGAGGATAGTGAGGCTCAAGTTAGAGTATGTAGGAAAGAGGGAAATTATTTCCCAGTAAAAGTAGGCCTTAGACAAGGATGTGTGATGTCACCGTGGTTGTTTAATATATTTATAGATGGGGTTGTAAGAGAAGTAAATGCGAGGGTCTTGACAAGAGGCGTGGAGTTAAAAGATAAAGAATCACACACAAAGTGGGAGTTGTCACAGCTGCTCTTTGCTGATGACACTGTGCTCTTGGGAGATTCTGAAGAGAAGTTGCAGAGATTGGTGGATGAATTTGGTAGGGTGTGCAAAAGAAGAAAATTAAAGGTGAATACAGGAAAGAGTAAGGTTATGAGGATAACAAAAAGATTAGGTGATGAAAGATTGAATATCAGATTGGAGGGAGAGAGTATGGAGGAGGTGAATGTATTCAGATATTTGGGAGTAGGAAGTGTCAGCGGATGGGTCTATGAAAGATGAGGTGAATCATAGAATTGATGAGGGAAAAAGAGTGAGTGAAGCACTTAGGAGTCTGTGGAGACAAAGAACTTTGTCCTTGGAGGCAAAGAGGGGAATGTATGAGAGTATAGTTTTACCAACGCTCTTATATGGGTGTGAAGCATGGGTGATGAATGTTGCAGCGAGGAGAAGGCTGGAGGCAGTGGAGATGTCATGTCTGAGGGCAATGTGTGGTGTGAATATAATGCAGAGAATTCGTAGTTTGGAAGTTAGGAGGAGGTGCGGGATTACCAAAACTGTTGTCCAGAGGGCTGAGGAAGGGTTGTTGAGGTGGTTCGGACATGTAGAGAGAAAGGAGCGAAACAGAATGACTTCAAGAGTGTATCAGTCTGTAGTGGAAGGAAGGCGGGGTAGGGGTCAGCCTAGGAAAGGTTGGAGAGAGGGGGTAAAGGAGGTTTTGTGTGCGAGGGGCTTGGACTTCCAGCAGGTATGCATGAGCGTGTTTGATAGGAGTGAATGGAGACAAATGGTTTTTAATACTTGACGTGCTGTTGCAGTGTGAGCAAAGTAACATTTATGAAGGGGTTCAGGGAAACCGGCAGGCCGGACTTGAGTCCTGGAGATGGGAAGTACAGTGCCTGCACTCTGAAGGAGGGGTGTTAATGTTGCAGTTTAAAAACTGTAGTGTAAAGCACCCTTCTGGCAAGACACTGATGGAGTGAATGATGGTGAAAGTTTTTCTTTTTCGGGCCACCCTGCCTTGGTGGGAATCGGCCAGTGTGATAATAATAAAATAATAATAATTCTATATGAACTCAAGTTAAGTTGTAATAAACAACTGTTGATGATTATTTTAGAAAACCTTCAAATAATTAATCTTTAAATATATCTCTATACTTCTTCAAGCCTTGCTCCAGAAAGTGAAAGTAGACAAACTCGGCAGGGTCGTGGAAGCCCTGGAAGAACATAGTGTTATTAAACTCGGCATCCAGGATGTGGTTGGCATTGATGGAAGACACTACATACCCTGAAGCATCCTGTATCAGGATCTGCACCGGGAAAGTGTAGGCATCTAGGCTCAGGCTGGCGACCAGGGAGCTGCCAGACACTGACCCATCTCCAGCATAACCCTGCGAGTAGGAATTTCGTTATTACATTTTGCATGCAAAACCCCCTGAACACCCTCCAGGTAGACTCCAGGTACTTACTGAAGTATAATTTTATGTACAGTAGTAGTGTGGTACACCAGGCACATTCCTAATTCCTAAGATAATAATAATACCAAGGGGAACAAAAAATTATAAAACTAATGATTCAAATTTTACATTATCTGATGTGAATTTAAAAAAATTATTAAAACTTCCTCAAAGGACTTTTTCACATCTTTTGCAAAATCTGATGTTTTATACAGTGGACCCCCGCATAACGATTACCTCCAAATGCGACCAATTATGTAAGTGTATTTATGTAAGTGCGTTTGTACGTGTATGTTTGGGGGTCTGAAATGGACTAATCTACTTCACAATATTTCTTATGGGAATAAATTCGGTCAGTACTGGCACCTGAACATACTTATGGAGTGAAAAAATATCGTTAACCAGGGGTCCACTGTAAATGGAGTGATTTATATTTCTTGAGCAGTACTTCACTTCTTTTCATCTCTGCATGTACCAGAAGAGAGACTGTTTCAAATTAAACTATCAATTATGAAATTGAGGGGATCAAGAACACTTATATACAATATATTTACAGTACAATGTATATTTACCACTTTTTTCTTGGTTGCTATTAGCCATATGGTGAATATTTTGTCATAAAAACAAATGAGTTAGATGGGTTGTGTGTTCACTTTATGACTAAATGTCTGTCAGTTATTATCTCTATCTACTGTATTAAGAAATAAAATTTATCATTCCTATGTGATAAAATTGTGTTATGCAAAGTCATCTAAAAGGACTCTACACAGTCAAATTTTCAGCAAAGATGGTCAGTAACTCTTTTTTTTTTTAACTTTTGTGTACTCAAATACTCTTTGATCATTGCAGAATAAATTAAAATATTTAGATTAAGATTATTTCCATGTAGCCGGACTTGAGTCCTGGAAATGGGAAGTACAATGCCGGCACTTTAAAGGAGGGGTTTGGGATATTGGCAGTTTGGTGGGGTATGTTGTGTATCTTTATACGTATATACTTCTAAACTGTTGTATTCTGAGCACCTCTGCAAAAACAGTGATTATGTGTGAGTGTGGTGAAAGTGTTGAATGATGATGAAAGTATTTTCTTTTTGGGGGTTTTCTTTCTTTTTGGGTCACCCTGCCGACTTGTTAAAAAAAAAAAAACCTCCAGGACTCAAGGCTGGCTATCAGTTTCCCTGAACCCCTTCATAAATGTTACTTTGCTAAAACTTAACTGCACATCAGGTCATAAAAACTACTTGGCTCCACTCACTCCTATCTAACACACTCAAACATGCTTGTAACTCACTACCTGTAACAAGTTGAGTCAAACTAATTGATGAATTTCCAGTATAATGCGATGGGGTTACCTGAAAATTATTTCTGCAGACATGGCTATAGGAAGTTAAATACAATAATTCTATGCATAATTCTTAGCACAGCAGCTATGTTTGAGTGAATTAAATTGAAACATTTATATTATTATTATCACACTGGCCGATTCCCACCAAGGCAGGGTGGCCCGAAAAAGAAAAACTTCCACCATCATTCACTCCATCACTGTCTTGCCAGAAGGGTGCTTTACACTACAGTTTTTAAACTGCAACATTAACACCCCTCCTTCAGAGTGGTACAATATATGGGTAGAATATATGGTACAATATCATGGCAGAAACAAGAAATGCAGAAGGGTGACTAATGGATGAAAACTCAACAAATACAGTTTTTCCTGAAGATAATGGCACTAAAAAACATGAAATCTCATGAAAAACTTACAGAATTATGCAGGTGAAAAATTAGCAGTCTGGATTCATTTTATGCAGCGGCAATTCATCAGTTTTGAGTCCTATTTTAAGACAATTCCATTGTTACATTTGACCAAATTCTTAGCTAGCTTACTAGTATGCCTTCCAGTCTATCAACTGAGTATAAGATCCTATGCAACTATCAAAACTACCTTATAAAGTGCACCGAATTCTATAATTTGGCCAATTTTATGCAAAATTAAAAAAAAAAAATACAATTTAAAAACACTGTCTAAAGTAGTCTAAAATAAACACTGTTGACATTCCTGGCACTAAAAAACATTTCCTCTATTCATTAGTCATGTTTCCAGGCCTCACCTATATTACATTTGCTTTCCATTTTTAACATATCATCATAAAAAAATCAAACATTTACCCTATTTCTCAGATAATAAATATCCAGGAATGATCTGTCAAGGTTTATGGCATCCTTATAATTGAATCAGATCTAATAAAAACCCATAAAACAGAGCAGAGGTTGTAGGGGAGGCCTTACTATCCTCAGAAGCGTTGTGAAAATCAAATATTTCCACTAATTTGAGGCCAATTTCAAATTACTTCTGGCCCTGGAACCAACTAAAATCATCTCTCAGTAGAGTGTCTTCTATTCTATCAAGTAATACCAAGAAACAGCTAATAAAACCATAAAAACCATCCTAGAAAAATCCTCAAATTATCTAAATTAAACCAAACATATGGTCGGAGTTTTGTTTTACCCATCATGTACTGCATGGTGCAGGATTTTTTTTTATACTCTGCACACTCACCACACAGACCCATTCTCTCTTATCTAGTCCAAAATTTACTGCTCATAGATTATCTGAGCGAGATGAGCTCATGACGTATGTGTACGTGATAGACCCTTGCATCAATGACGTAGTTTTATGTAATGGACAGTTAAAGGGTTAAAAAATTTTGTTTGTAAATACTGTAAGACAACATTGTATAAGATGAAATTTTTTTTTAGGGAATCAAATTAAATTATGAAGACTAACTAACCTTTAGCTCAGACACAAGTGCCCAAGATGAGATAAAGTGGTCCTGGAGTAGAGAGAGCACTTTGGGAGCAGCGAGTGGCCCTTCCCTCAGTGCCCGGCCTGATCCTCAGCAGGACTGGTCATTTAACACACCCCATAAAATGACTGAGTGTACCGGTCGGCCCTCATGACTGGCTTTCACGTATGCTTCTGTGAAGTTGTGGTACTCCACCTGTGAAGTTATGAAATATAAAATTTTTTTCACCACCACATCCTGCGGCAATTAGTAACATGTAGTATTCTCCAGAACACTGCAAAGACAATCAAATGAATACAAATAAATACAGGTGAAATTATTAACTATTGCCAATTCTGAAAATAAATCTACTCTCCGAGCTGAGACCTGGTGAAGCTCCCTCAACGACTACCTGACTAAACTGTTGCTGGTCTGAGGACAGATTTCTTTTCTGAGTGCTTAATCAAATAGTCAAGTGATGCCTTTGTAGGCCTATAGGCCTACACAGGTAACACAACCTGCCACTTGTTGATAAAATCTTGCAGTACAGTGCTGTTCCAAACTTTACCACTGCTCTAGTGATTGTCTGTTAACTTTTATCTCTTTCTTCCACCTTTAACTCAAGTACTTACAAATTTAACTGGACACTCTAGTAAAGACTGTCCGGAAATTATAGATACAACTAGTTATATGTTTTGCTTTAAATCTCTGACACTAGTGTTGTACTGTACTTCTAATCTCTAATGTGCATAATCATATAGTGCTCCTAATCTCTTGCTACAACTAATCAAATACTCTGCTTCTAGTACCTATTACAGTTCCTAGTCATATACTAGGCTTCTTTCTATGGTATAACTAATCATATACAGTGGACCCTCAAATTTAGTAGTGCCGTTTCTGTATGCAAAACTATTTTTATTATCTATAAAATGTTCTTCTTCTTTCAACAAACTGGCCGTATCCCACCGAGGCGGGGTGGCCCAAAAAGAAAAACAAAAGTTTCTCTTTTTAAATTTAGTAATTTATACAGGAGAAGAGGTTACTAGCCCTTTGCTCCTGGCATTTTAGTCGCCTCTTACAACACGCATAGCTTATGGAGGAAGAATTCTGATCCACTTCCCCATGGAGGTAAGAGGAAATAAACAAGAACAAGAACTAGTAAGAAAATAGAAGAAAACCCAGAGGGGTGTGTATATATATGCTTGTACATGTATCTATAAAATGTATTTTTTGTTAATATTTCCCATAGGAAATAATGTAAATCCAATTAAACCATTCCAGACACCCAAAAATATTAACAAAAAATACATTTTATAAATAATAAAAATAGTTTTGCATACAGAAACGGCACTACTAAATTCGAGGGTCCACTGTATTATGTTACTAATCTCTGGCACAACTAGCTGTTTGCTGTGCTTCTAATCTCTGGTACAACTATACACAAATAACCCGTACATAGAAGAGAGGAGCTTACAGCACACACTGTGTGACTTTGTAAATGGTCCAAACGTTGTCGTAAGCTCCTCTCTTCTATGTACGGGTTATTTGTGTATCGTTCCAGTCACGGTACTGTGCCTTTTTTTGTTATTCTGGTACAACTAACTGTTTGCTGTGCTTCTAATCTCTGGTACAACTGTTTGTTGTGCTTCTAATCTCTGGTACAACTAACAATACACTGTACCTGTAGTCTAACAGGTGTCTACATCACTTAGTGTATCAGACAAAAATCTTATAGTTAATGACCTGCATGAACTTATAAAGCTCTTTCTCTAGCAGGGATAGAGCCTCATGTGAGTGTATCTGCTGCATCCAAGTGAGTGTGTCAGGATCAACAGATCCTCTACTTCTTATACTCATTTCCTCCAGATGTGTGATGTTCACCTCCATATCTTTGTCTTCATTAGGACCAATCAGCCACTCCAAATCTGCCAACACGTTTTTTGTATTCATTAATCTGACTTATCATAACCATAGGTTAAGCTAAACAGTTATACATAAAGGGTCAATATTATCATCTCATTATGGTTTTGGGGATCATTATTCCAGTATCCCAGGCTCAGACTGGGCCTCCTAAATGGGAAACGAAATATTAGATGAATAAGAACTAGTAAGAAACATGCAAGAAGGCAAAGTAAGTAGAAGAATAAGACACATGAGTAATGCCTGGGTATCTTTATCTTGAGATGTTTTGCAGTCAATTGGCTTCTTTTTTTAATTCAAGACAGAACATATAAACCAGAGACAGTATTAAGATTTGGAAATCAGTCCTTCAGTTTTGATACCCCTCAAGGGAGGTTCATTGATACTGGTGAGGGATTCTTGATCCGAGGGATTCTACATCCTCTCCCATTCCTTGGACTGAACCTGATTGCCTTTCTTTCCCCAGGCACTGTATGATCCAGATGGGTTTAGCACATCCCTTAAATATAATAATCAGCCTTGACAGGTGTTCAAATTGGAGATGGTAGAAGATGAAGTAATCAGTCCCTCAGCCTTGATGGAAGGTATTCAAACTGGAGACAGTAGAAGATGAGGTAATCAGTCCCTCAGCCTTGATGGAAGGAAGTGAAATTGGAGACAATAGAAAAAAATATCTACTTGTCATAATTTTTTTAAACACATCGGCCATCCACAATTCAAGTCCAGCTAACCAGTTTCCCTGAATCCCTTAATAAATGTTATTTTGCTCACACTCCAATAACATGTCAAGTCATAAAAACCACTTCCTTCCACTCACCCCTATCTAACATGCTTGCTGAATGTCCAAGCTCCATGCACACAAAACTTCCCTGACCTCCTCCCTCCAACCATTCCTAGGACAACCCCTACCCCATCTTCCCTCCACTACAAATTTATATGCTCTCTAAGCCCGATTTTGTTCCTTCCTCTCTAAATGTCTGAACCACCTCAACTAAATCTAAAGTAAAAAAATTCTTTTTTTTTTTTTTTTGGAAATTAAAGTATGAAGCCTCAAAATTAACAAAAACAATATACAGTGGACCCCCGCATAACGATCACCTCCGAATGCGACCAATTATATAAGTGTATTTATGTAAGTGCGTTTGTATGTGTATGTTTGGGGGTCTGAAATGGACTAATCTACTTCACAATATTCCTTATGGGAACAAATTCGGTCAGTACTGGCACCTGAACATACTTCTGGAGTGAAAAAATATCGTTAACCGGGGGTCCACTGTACTATGTGTTCCTATAGAACAATTTAAATGTTGATGCACTTACCAACATTGAGGGACATGTGTGCTGGGACATGCATGGAAAAGTACTTTACATCAGGTTCTGTGGTGTTGATGATAAGTCTTCCAATAAAGGCTGCCGGGGTAAACCAGAGTGGCCGTCTGGGTGAAGTGTTGAGTTGAAACTCAGCATGGAGCCTATCAATATATGTATAATAATATGCCAAATGAGAATTACTGTATACAGTATATCTTCATCAAGATTTAGGATAGTTAAAGTCTACTATTTGGATACTAATTGTGACACCATCTAGTCTTACCATTCCCTATAAAACTTGACTGCATGAATCTTTAGCTCACATTCTTAAAATTCAGAGTAATATTTTGCAATGACATACAATATTTCTACTTTTATTATCATTACCACACTTTACATTACCAGTAATTAAAAAAACTGTTTACAGTTTAATTAGAGGATAAAAGCAATGTAGTTAAATGTAAAGGTAAAAGGTGAAGATTTTTTCCATGTCAAATCTTTTGGGTACTCGAGTAGAAATAGGGTTTGAGTGGGTCAGAGTGGAGGTTTTCACTGGAGGGAAAAATGAGTAGGAAACAAACAAACTATATTTCTATAAAGTGGAACAGAGTATATTATACAATTTTTTTTTTTTTCAACAAGTCGGCCGTCTCCCACCGAGGCAGGGTGACCCAAAAAACAAAGAAAATCGCCAAAAAGAAAATACTTTCATCATCATTCAACACTTTCACCACACTCACACATTATCACTGTTTTTGCAGAGGTGCTCAGAATACAACAGTTTAGAAGCATATACGTATAAAGATACACAACATAGGGTGACCAGGAGGCATGGTCACAGACCGGGCCGCGGGGGCGTTGACCCCCGAAACTCTCTCCAGGTAAACTCCAGGTAAACCAATATATATTACTGAGCTCAAGCACAACAATTACAGTTGTTGCTGCCTGGGAGGGAGCTAACTGTGCACACTGAGTCAGTAGGGTGGAGCTATGATCACTACACCATGCAGTGAAACAGTGTACTGAAGCTACAAGGGAGAGTCTGTTAAGCAGTGGTTAGCAGTGCCTGGTCCTGTGGCTGGTCCACTTCAAGTAGCATATTGGCAAGCATTGCATAGCAATTTGTGATGTATGCAAGGCTAAGCAAGGAACAGCATGCCCTGCTTAGTTGAAGGGGCAATGGGGCATGAAGAGGAGTAGTAGTAAGAAGAAGAAGAAGAAGAAGAGAGGGCAGGCAGGTAGGCAGGCAGGCAGAGAAGGGATAGGAGCACTTGTAAACAGGTGGCTAGGGGTGAGAGGCAGGAAGGTCTAATTCTCCTACTGGCTTAAGCCAATGCCCTAACCTAGTCAGGTCAGGTCAGGTCACATTAATTATTATATACTTGGAGTCAGTATCACTGTGCCATGTGACTCTGGACTCATAAGCCAGAATGGTATCAAATATTTATTCCAGGCAATCAGCTGCACCACTTTATATTTGCCATGACTAGACATAATGTATTAATTAGTACTGACTTCACACTTACCTGAACATTATGTCTAAAGAGTCACTACTTCTGGCTCGGACAACGGCAGCTGCTCCTCTAGGTTCATACCTAAGATTAAGATTAGATTAAAATTCTAAATTTCCAATCACTGCATTAGAAAATATACTATAAGTAAAAAGCCCATAACATGTACAGTGTTTCATGCAAGACTGAGTGTAACTATAAGAACTACATAATTTACTTAATTATTTTTAACCCTTTCACTGACTGCGCCATACATAAGGGGGATTACCAATAGACCTATGGCTGTCTTCAAGCTGGCACTGGACAAGCGCCTAAAGCTTAACCTCAGGGTCAATGACCATGAAGGGTACAGAGTACATATGGCTGGTGTTTATGGCTTGAGTTTGCTGTGTCAGCCTGACAACATAAAGTCAGTACCTGACCAGCCGGGCTGTGGCTCGTACGTTGGATTGCGTGCAGCCAGCAGTAACAGCCTGGTTGGTCAGGCTCTGATCCACCATGAGGCCTGGTCACAGACCGGGCCGTGGGGGCGTTGACCCCCGGAACTCTCTCCAGGTAAACTCCAGGTAGTACTTTGGTTTTGAGCTCACTGTCAGTGCCATAATACAACTCCATGAGCTCAGCTCACTCAGATAAGCTGTGAGCGGTGAATTTGGCCAGAAGCACTCAGTGCACAATGAGAAAAAACTGCAACCGTGTTTTTGGTTTAAAACAGTGACTTGCGGTGTATTTTCATATGGTTTTTATGGTTGTATTCTTGGTTTCTTGGTCTTTAATAGAATGTAAAAAATACAGTAGACCCCCGGTATTCGATAAATCCGGTATTCGATGCATTTTAACACAAAAATTTTGCCTCGGTATCTGATTGAAAACCCGGTATTTGATACGATTCGTACGAGACGTGTCCACATGTGGCATGAACTGCCCCTTGTGTGCCAGTGTTTACAAGCCAGCCAGTGTGCGCGCATCTAAGGATACATTCGGTACATTCCATATTATCCACATTATCACTGTTTTTGGTGCTTGTTTCTGCAAAATAAGTCACCATGGGCCCCAAGAAAGCTTCTAGTGCCAACCCTGTGGTAAAAAGGGTGAGAATTAGTATGGAAATTAAGAAAGATTTTGAAGGGTTTGGGGCTAACCCTGAGAAGCCTATGCCAGTTGTGGAATCCATTGTGCCTACTTCAAAAATTAAGGAAATGTGTGTGCAGTGGGTTGAAGTGCAAACCTTTATGGATGAAAATCACCCTGACACAGCTATTGCAAGCCGTGCTGGTGACTATTACAATGACAATGTTGTGGCCCATTTTAGACAAATCGTAAAGGAACGGGAGGTACAGAGCTCTATGGACAGATTTGTTGTGCGACAGAGGTCCAGTGACTCTCAAGCTGGTCCTAGTGGCATTAAAAGAAGAAGGGAAGTAACCCCGGAAAAGGACTTGCTACCTCAAGTCCTAATGGAAGGGGATTCCCCTTCTAAACACTAACACCATCCACACTCTCCCCTCCTCCTATCCCATCAATCATCACCAGATCTTCAATAAAGGTAAGTGTCATGTAACTGTGCATGTCTTCTTCAGTTTGTGTGTATTAAAATTAATATTTCATGTGGTAAAATTTTTTTTTTCATACTTTTGGGTGTCTTGCACGGATTAATTTGATTTCCATTATTTCTTATGGGGAAAATTGATTCGCTTTTCAATATTTTCGGTATTCGATGAGCTCTCAGGAACGGATTTATATCCAATACCGGGGGTCCACTGTATTACAGAAATACCAATGATTTTGACTGGTTTTAGGACTGAAAATAGCTTGAAACTGAGCTGAAAGTAGTGAAAAATCTTCGAGTTTTGCTGATGTTCAAGAGTAAACAAATGATGACACGTGTCCAATACACATCAACTGGTGGGTCCAATATGTGTTCACAAATGCCCTGATATTATTTATATAATTATTACAGTATTACATAACAGTAAATCTACTTTTTAATATAAATAAAAATTCTTTGTGTGAATAAAACATCAAAATGTAATTCGTGTGTAAACCCTGTGAACATAACTAATGAACAAATGAAATGTTATGCTAGTGCAAGGAATGTCTGCATTGTTAAATCTAAATCCTATTTTGAAGATGAATATTTTGAAATTTGTGTGAAATTGGCCAATTACCAATTTATGATCACTTTAATGGGTAGCTGAAATAGTTGATATGGCAATTTCTTGCACTCATTTTATAAAATGGAACACATATTAGCAAAATAGCTAAGAATTTGGTAGCCTGGAATAATGTAACTGGCCTAAAACTGGGCAAAATAACTGATGCATAAATATCTCTGACACAGCAAAATTTGTGAAAAACGTAATTTTGTCAATTTTCCACCAATTTTCGTGGTGCCCCGTGGTCTGATCGCTAAAGCTCTCACTTCACTTCACTTCACCTAATTTACCCGAAATGCTCAGCATAACAAGCGGCTTTCTATATAGTAGTGTTTCACTGATGTCAGCTAGGCCTGTATACCTTCTCCATGTACTTGTAGTAAATAAAGATATTATTCTATTATTATTATTATTATTGTTTTATTACCTTCAGTAAAAGATTCTCTACTATTTCATAAGAAAAATGAAGTTGAATAGGGGGCCATGGATGTTGATACAACATTCCCTTATTGTGCCTACAGCACCTCTGATTTTCACTGAGTTTATTTTGCACTTCCTCCCATATGTCTCACTCCAGTATGTTAAACAAACCACAAAATGGGTGGGGGGTTGACAAACAAGTCCTAAAACTCCAGGCTACTTGCCATGGGTTCAAACCCCACCCATTCCATGGTTTGCTTATAATCCCATTATGATTTCATGAGTCCAGTATGTTGTTAAGGCAGAGTGCAGGAAAACAGCTGTCTTAATGAAGGGGATTTAACCCTTTGACTGTCGTGGCCGTATACATACGTCTTACGAGGTACCGTGTTTGACGTATAATAACTCATAAATTCTAGCGGCTTCAAATCAAGAAGGAGAAAGCTGGTAGGCCTACATGTGAGAGAATGGGTCTGTGTGGTCAGTGTGCACCACATAAAAAAAATCCTGGGGCATGCAGTGCATAATGAGAGAAAAAAAACTCCGACCGTTTTTTTTTTAATTAAAATGCCGACTTTGTGGTCTATTTTCGTATAGTATTTATGGATGTATTCTCGTTTTCTTGGTCTCATTTGATAGAATGGAAAGCATATTATAGAAAAAGAGATGATTTTGATTGATTTTACTATAAAAAGAACCTGGAAATGGAGCTCAAAGTGGGGGAAATGTTTGATTTTTGCCGATGTTCAAAAATAAACAAATGACATCATTGTCCAATATATGTCCAACTAGCCATTCTAATATGCATTCATGAATGGGTTGATGTTATTTATACAATTATTACAGTATTGGAGTAGTCTGCATAATAGTAAATCTTCTATTTTTTGTTTGAATAAAAATTCAAAATAGAAAGCAAGAGTAATATCAGAAGGGCCTGGAGACATGACTGATGAACAAAGAAAATGTTATTTTAGAGCCAGGAATGTCTGCAGTGTTCATTCTGGAGATTATTTTGAAATTGTCACATTTTTTAATTTTCGTGAAATTGGCTAAATTGGAAATTTCTGACCACGTTATTGGGTAGTTGAAATTGGTAAATGGGCAGTTTCTTGTACTCAATCGATAGAAAAAACGGAGTTATAAAGAAATAGCTATGAGTTTGGTCGACTAGAACAATGGAATTAGCCGAAAATAGGGCTCAAAGTGGACGAAATCGCCGATTTGTAAATATCCGCAAGAGCGTAATTCCGTCAGTTTTCCATCAAATTTCGTTTTCTTGGTGTCATTACAATCGGGAAAAGATTCTCTATCATTTCACCAGAAAAAATATTTTTTTTTTTTTTTTGAAATTTTGCGACACCAGGATAAGATAAGATAAGATTTCGTTCGGATTTTTAACCCCGGAGGGTTAGCCACCCAGGATAACCCAAGAAAGTCAGTGCGTCATCGAGGACTGTCTAACTTATTTCCATTGGGGTCCTTAATCTTGTCCCCCAGGATGCGACCCACACCAGTCGACTAACACCCAGGTACCTATTTGCTGCTAGGTGAACAGGACAACAGGTGTAAGGAAACGTGTCGAAATGTTTCCACCCGCCGGGAATCGAACCCGGGCCCTTCGTGTGTGAAGCGGGGGCTTTAGCCACCAGGCCACCGGGCCACTCGAGGAGACATTTCAGGATTGGGGGTTGCGACAGTCAAGGGGTTAAACACACAGTACAATATATGGGGGTAAAGAAAAGCATCAACAAGTACAAGAGGATGAATAATAGATAAAAACTCAACAAGGTTTCTAGATGAGTTTTAACATAGTTAAATACCATGAATCACAGTAGATAAAGGAGGAGTTTTTTTAACAACAGTTTTGAAGCAGTTGGTAGATAGTGAATATTTGAAATATTCTGGCAGTCTCCTAAATTTTTTGGCCTTTTATGAGTATTAAAGTTTTGCTAAGTACATGTACTATCATCAACATAGTGCAAGAAGCTCGGCCATTCACCTCTGCTAACAATCCACAACCTTCCAAGTCAGGGCAGTAGGGCTACACTATCCCTCTCCACTCCTTTTAATATCATCAAGATGCACTAGCAACTAAAATTTAAGGTAAGAAATACTATTTAAGTAACCTTTATCGTTATAAGTACAATGGTACCATGAATTTCAGCCATAATTCATTCCAGAAGGCTGTTCAAGTGTCGTTACCAAACGAATTTGTTCCCATAAGGAATAATGTATATTATATTAGTACGTTTCAGACCCCCTGTTGTCCCTGTTCACCCATCAGTATAAAATGGGTACCTGGGTACTTGTCGGCTGGTGTGAGTCGCATCCTGGGACAAAACTGACCTAATTTGCCCAACATGCTCTGCATAAGAAGCGGCTTTCTATATAGTAGTACATATGTCATTGATGTCAGCTAGGTCTTTATACCTTGTACGTGTCCTTGTAGAAAAAGTTATATTATTATAAGACTACGTTGGTAAATGAATTTGTTGCTAAACAAGGAGAATACTATAATGGTAGTGGGTTTGTCTACCATCTTTGATATTGCACCATTTATAACATTATAAGTATATTTTTAAATGTTTATATAGTGTACTGTATACTGTAATAAACAGAATAGAGGATATCAGCTCTAATATACATTATTTAGGTATGCATACTGGTCAGAAAGCCCGTTGTAAGTCCAAGTCATTGGTAAATGAATACGTCGCTAAGTGAGGAGAGGCTGTATTGTAATTTCATGAACTAGCACCACTCAACCTTCTACACCAGGGGTCGGCAACCTATGGCCTACGGGCTAGATCCAGCCAAATGATGTTAAATATATGTCAAATATATGTCAAATGATGTTAAATATATGTCAAAGTTTAGTATGTACAGTGGACCCCCGCATAACGATCAGCTCCCAACGCGACCAATTATGTAAGTGTATTTTTGTAAGTGCTTTTGGAGGTGTATTTTTGGGGGTCTGAAACGGACTAATCTACTTCACAATATCTCTTATGGGAAAAAATTTGGTCTATAACGGCACCCAAACAGACTTCTGGATTGAAATAATATCGTTATGCGGGGGTCCACTGTATTATTATTACCTCTATTTATTTACTATGGCGATAGGTGTGGCAAGCCATCTGTTCGCAGACACGGGCTCTGGCCCCTAGGCAGAACAAGGTTGCCGACCACTGTTCTACACCAATTCTATTACAATTTTTTACTTTTAATGAATAATCTTGTACCTTGTATCTTAACTTTTTTTTTTAACTTCCAGTCCTTTACTGGACCCATTACAAAAACTATGCAGTCTTATATTAGTCTTAAGTTTGCCTAATATGCTATGCATACTATGGGCTTTCTAATTATTGCATATGCACCAAAATTTGCAATAAAAATATTGAATTTGAATGACTGCAGTTTTCTTGTGTCTTGATACATATTATGGTTGCAATCTCACTCTTCACACTGTTGAAAAAATAATGTAGAATTTTTTCAGTTTCACTGAGGTAATATTTATGTAAATTAGCAACTCAGATAGTTTATCAATATGCTAGTTATGTTTTCTATCCCTGAGGCTTTTTGTTTTGTTAACTAAGTCACCCTAAAGCCACATGTCTACAAAAGTTATGAGACATGTCTGGATAAGTTATATCTACATAACTAGTTTACACAGGTTGACACATTAGGCACACGTGCATGCACATATACAGGAACACGCACACACACAGTACCTGGACTGGAGGAAAGGCTGAGGATGGAAGAGGGACAACAGCTGGAAAAGTAGTTCCTCCACAGGTCCTGATGGTGTGGGTGGAACATACCTGTAACTGGAACATAATGACTAGTAAGCATCAGTAAGAGTTAGGTTACAAACATACACATCTAACAATACATAAAATATAGACAGTGAACACTATGTGATATGCTCAATAATAACCCACATGAGTTATTATTGAGCACATCACTTTCAGAAGATTAACTGGTTTGTATATTTTGAATCCCTTCTGGGATCCTTTTCAGCATCTGCTGAAGAGGATCCCAGAAAGGGATCGAAATATACAAACCAATTAATATTCTGTGTTTCTGTCCCCATGTGGGTTATTACTGAGCACTGACAAGTGTCTATTTCACTTGAGTTATCCACTCTGTAATGTAATTAGAAGAGTTGATTCTCTAACTGTTCATTAAATCAGAATGTTAGAAAATTGCAAAAAAAAAAAAAAAAGAAACACTCAACTGTACACACAATTTATATATTTTTTTCAACAAAGTGGCTGCCTCCCACCAAGGCAGGGTGGCCCAAAAAGAAAAACAAAAGTTTATCTTTTTAACTTTAGTAATGTATACAGGAGAAGGGGTTACTAGCCCATTGCTCCTGGCATGTTAGTCACCTCTTAAGACACGCATGGCTGTCGGAGAAATAATTCTGTTTCACTTCCCCATGGAGAATTTATAGATATACTGCAATAAATATGGGAACTGAATGAGTTAAGAATAAAATTTACTCATTGAATTTTGTCAACTATTTCAGAAGTCCCTTATACTGAGGGTTCACTATAAATGGTGAAATCAAACAAAAGTGATGGAGCAAGCCATTGTTGAGAAGTGATGGTTCCCTCAGTATGAAATTTATTGATCTATATTCTACACAGATAGCTAGGCACTCTTTCCTTATAAAGGTGGGAGGAAATGGTAAAGAATAGTGACATTATGGAAATAGACACAAATGCAGTATAATATAATCCTTTACTATTAATAATGTTTTGTCCACACCATAGGCTTTATCAAGTCACAAATTACCTGGGAAGAGAGGATGTGTGTATATATACAGTGTGTGTAGCGACTCATACTCTTAACCCTTTGAGAGTCGGTCCCATAGTTCTTTGGGTTTAAAGCCAGGGTCCAATCTGTAGTGCTGTCATGAGCTCAGCTCACTCAGATAAGCTATTAGCAGTAAATTTGGGCCTAGATATGAAAGAATGCATCTATGTGGTAAATGTGTACCATATAAAACAAATCGTGCAGCACGCAGTGCGCAATGAGGAAAAAAAAACTGAGACCGTGTTTTTGGATTAACCCGTAAACGGTCCAAGCAGATCTACGTTCACATGTGTAGTGCTACAAAAGTAGATCTACGTTTTTTTTACATATTTTCAAATAAAACAAAAAAAAAAACTAGATCATGTTGAAAAAACGTATATATACGTTTGGACCATTTACGGGTTAAAACAGAAACTTTGCAGTGTATTTTCTTATGGAAATTTATGGTTGTATTTGAGTTTCTTGGTCTCATTTGATAGAATGGAAGATATATTACAGAAACAGAAATGATTTTGACAGGTTATAGTAGTGAAAATAACTGGAAATTGACCACAAAGTAGCAGAAATTTTTTATTTTTGCCGACGTTCAAGAGCAGACAAATCACGTCACACGTCCAGTACACGTCAACTGGTGGATCTAATATATGTTCACAAATGTGCTGATATTATTTATACAATTATTACAATGTTGCATAACAGTAAATCTTCTATTTTTTGGTGAGAATACAAATTCTTTATGTGAATAAAAAAGCAAAATGGAATTCATCTGTAAAGCCTGGAAATATGACTAATAAACAGAGAAAAGGTTATTTTAGTGCCAGGAATATCTGCATTGTTTATTCTGGACCCTACTTTGAAACTGCAATATTTAGTACTTTGTGTGAAATTGGCCCAATTACCAATTTCTGATCACTTTATTGGGTAGTTGAAATAGTTGACTGGGCAGTTTCTTGTGCTCAATCGATAAAATACAAGTAATACTAGTGAAATAGCTAAAAATTTGGTCAACTGGAATAATATAATCAGCCTAAAATAGGAGTCAAAGTGGGAAAAATCACCGATGTGTAAATATCCCTGATGCAGTGAAATTCGCAGTAACATAATTTTGTCAATTTTCCATCAAATTTCGTACTTTGTTTTATTACCTTCAGAAAAAGATTCTCTACCATTTCGTAAGAATTTTTTTTCAATATGAAGTTAAATGATGAGAAATTTCAATTACTCCTATGTGGAAAACATGAGGAAATTAAAAGTACATCGGAGTATAAAACAAATTTCAACCACACAATAGAGCGAAAAGCTAATGTAAAAGACCTGGGAGTGATCATGTCAGAAGGTCTCAGCTTCGAAGATCATAACATTGTATCAATTGCATAAGCTAGAAAAATGACAGGATGGATAATGAGAACATTCAAAACTACTAGAGATGCCAAGCCCATGATGACACTCTTCAGGTCACTTGTTCTATCTAGGCTGGAATATTGCTGCACACTAACACCACCTTTCAAGGCAGGTGAAATTGCCGAAAATGTACAGAGAATCTTGAAGGCATGCATAACTGCAATAAAACACCTCAATTACTGGGAATGCTTTAAGTTCCTAAACCTGTACTCCCTAGAACGCAGGCGGGAGAGATACATGATTGTATACACTTGAAAAATCCTAGAGGGACTAGTACCAAACTTGCACATGAAAATCACTCCCTATGAAAGCAAAAGACTCGGCAGACAATGCAATATCCCCCAATGAAAAGTAGGGGTGCCACTAGCATGATAAGAGACAACACAGTAAGTGTCAGGGGCCAAAAACTGTTCAACTGCCTCCCAGCACACATAAGGGGGATAACCAATAGACCCCTGACTGTCTTCAAGCAGGCACTGGACAGACACCTAAAGTCAGTACCTGACCAGCCGGGCTGTGGTTTATACATCGGGTTGCACGCGGCCAACAGTAACAGCCTGGTTGATCAGCCCCTGATCCACCATGAGGCCTGGTCACAGACTAGGCTGTAGGGGTGTTGACCCCTGGAACCCTCCCCAGGTATACTCCAGGTATGGGGCTGTAAGAGAAGTGAATGTTTGGGTGTTGGCAAGAGGAGTGGGATTAAAAGATAAAGAATCTAACACACAGTGAGAGTTGTCACAGTTGGTTTTTGCTGATGACACTGTGCTTTTGGGAGATTCTGAAGAGATGTTGCAGAGGTTGGTGGACAAGTTTTGGTAGGGTATGTAAAAGAAAATTAAAAGTGAACTTAGGAAAGAGCAAGGTGATAAGGATAACAAAAAATTTAGGTAGTGAAAGATTGGATATCAGATTGGAGGAAGTGAGTATAGAGAAAGTGAATGTATTCAGATATCTGAGAGTGGACTTGTCAGCAGATGGGTTTATGAAATTTGAGGTGAATCAAAGAACCAATGAGGGGTAAAAAAGGTGAGTGGTACACTGAAGTCTGTGGAGACAAAAAACATTATCTATGGATGCAAAGAGGGGAATGTATGAGAGTATAGTTATACCAATGCTCTTATATGGGTGTGATGCATGGGTAGTGAATGTTGCAAAAAGGACAAGGCTGGAGGACGTGGAGATTCTGTGTGCAAGGGCAATGTGGTGTGAATATAATGCAGAGAATCCGTAGTTTGGAAATTAGGAGGAGTAGCAGGGTTACTAAAAGTATTATACAGAGGGCTGAGGAGGGGTTGTTGTGGTGGTTTGGACATTTAAAGAGGATGAAACGAAATGGAATGACTTGGAGAGCATATAAATCCAAAGTGGAAGGAAGGTGGGGTAGGAGCTGGTCTAGAAAGGGTTGGAGAGGGGGGGTAAAGGAGGTTTTGTGCGCGAGGGGCTTGGACTTCCAGCAAGCGTACATGAGCATGTTAAATAGGAGCGAGTGGAGATAAATGTTTTTTATGACTTGATGTGCTGTTGCACTGTGAGCAAAGTAACATTTATGAGGGATTCAGGGAAACCGGTTAGCTGGATTTGAGTCCTGGAAGTGGGACGTACAGTGCCTGTGCTCTGAAGGACAGGTGTTGATATGTTGCAGTTTTTTAATTGTAGTGTAGGCACGCCTCTGGCAAGACAGTGAAGGAGTGAATGATGTAGAAGTGTTGTTTCTTCATTTTTCGGGTCACCTTGCCTTGGTGGGAAATGGTTGACGTGTTAATAAAAAATCATATAAATAATACAATACTGCACTAACAAATATAATCAACATAAATGGTATAATACAGTAGCAACATAAACACTACTGTATAGACAGCATATAAAGATATTGAATGTAAAAAGAAGAAAAGATTTACACCCTGCCTCAGTGGGAGATGACTAGTTTGAAAAAAAAAAAATGAAGATATAACTGACTCATATAAATCAAGTGATGGTCTTTTTGTTTGTACCACATTGGCAATCTTCCAACATTGTAGGGCGACCTAAAAGTGGAAGCATTCACTATCATTCATTCAACAGATGCACACATCACAATTCAGTGTAGGCACTGAACATTCATCATTCAGGACTCAAGTCTGGCTAATTAGTTTCCCTGGACTCCTTCATATATGTTACTTCTCTCACACTCACACTTCCTCTGCAAGCAACACTACTTTCAATCATATCCCTAACTTTTGCAATAATAATTCTACTGTACACTTTATCTACTGTACTCAACAGGTTTATTGCCCGATAGTTTTTACAGTAAACTCTCTTGTCCTCTTTTTCCTTATATAAGTGAAGTATGTATGCTCTCTGCTTATTCTTAGGTACACTCCCTTCTTTCACATATACAGTGGACCCCGGTTTATGATCAGCTCCCAATGCGACCAATTATGTAAGTGTATTTATGTAAGTGCGTTTGTGCATGTATGTTTGGGGGTCTGAAATGGACTAATCTAATTCACAATATTCCTTATGGGAACAAATTCGTTCAGTAATGGCACCTGAACATACTTCTGGAATGAAATAATATTGTAAGCCAGGGGTCCACTGTATACTGAACAAATGCACCACATGCTAGTGGCTTTCTTTTGTGTCTAATAATATTTTATTACTTGTATACTGCAGAAAAGAAATAAACTATCTGAATTTGTATTTATTTGTAAATACATCAGAAACTTGAAAACTATATTTCCACCATCTTATAACATTTCTGTCTTAACCCTTTCAGGGTCGCCAGGCCCTCTCCGAGACTTGTTCTCAAGGTCGCCAAATTTAAAAAAAAAAAAAAAAAATTCTTGTGAAAAGATAGAGAATTTTTTCTCGATCATAATGACACCAAAAAATATGAAATTTGATGGAAAACTTACGGAATTATGCTCTCGCGAAGTTAGCAGTCTTCACGATGTTTATGCATCGGCGATTTTGCCCACTTTGAGCCTTATTTTCGGCCAATTCCAGTGTACTAGTCGACAAAAATCATAACTATATCGCTAGAACTCTATTTTTTCTATCGAATGAGTACAAGAAACCACCCATTTACCAATTTCAACTATCCAATAGTGGTCAGAATTTAGCAATTTTGCCAATTTCACACAAATTTCAAAAGATGCCAATTTCTGAATAGGGTCCAGAATAAACAAGAAAGACATTCCTGGCACTAAAATAACATTTCCTCTGTTCATTAGTCACGTCCTCATGCCCCTCTTGCATTCTTTTGCTTTCCACTTTGAATTTTTATTCTAAAAAAAAAAAATAGAAGATTAACTGTTATACAGCCTACTGCATTAGTGTAGAAATGGTATAAATAATATCAGAGCACTTGCGAAAGAATATTAAACTCACCAGATGACGTGTATTGGACGCGTAGCATGATTTGTTTACTTTTGAACTTTGGTAAATATCGAACATTTCTGCTATTTTGCGCTCAATTTCAAGGTACTTTTCATTGTAAAACCAGCCAAAATCATCTCAATTTCTGTAATATGTCTTCCATTCTATAAAATGAGACCAGGAAAACTAGAATACAACAATAAATACCATATGAAAGTACAGTGCAAAGTTGCTGTTTTAATCCAAAAACACGGTCAGTTTTTTTTTTCTCATTAAGCACTGTGTGCTGCAGGATTTTTTTTATACTGCGCACACTGACCACATAGACCCATTCTTTCATATGGAGGCCTACCAGCTTTCTCTCACTAGATTTGAGGGTGCTAGAATTTAGGCATACTAGTATGTCAAAAACCCTGGTGCGTAAGCCGTACTAGTACGTCCGAAACCCTGAAAGGGTTAATCCTGTCTCTCCCACCTACTTTAACCCCTTTCATTCAACATTTTACTCTATGAACTTCCAATACATTCATTTCTGGCTCTTCATTGCTCCTCACAGATACAGTAGCAGTATTACAAAATAAAGTATGGTGTGATGCCTTAACTAACCTGAGCATGTATTTATTAGCTGTGGTATCTGGCAGGAGTCTCCAGACATAGCCTGGTACTTGATCGGCACTTCTCTCTGGTAGCAAGGCAGTGAAAGCCTTGGATGGCACCCACGACCATGACACTGATGCCACCTTCCATGACAGCACACCGTGCAAAGTATTTCTCGACTCCTGGCAAGTTATGTCAATAGATCATAAGTGTTGTCGTTGTTGATTTTAAGGGCTTATGCCCCTAAGAGATTTTAATGTCTAATGGACTACTTTTATTATTATTATTATTAAAATAATCATGAGGAAGTGCTAAACCCTTAAGGGTTATACAATGCCTGGGGAATAGGAAGTAATCAGGTTTGACATGAGGAAGGGAGGGTACTCTAATTCCTTGGATTAAGAACCCTCTATGAAACTATTTTGTGGATGTTTCAGAAGAGGGATACATGACAATCTTGAAATTACTCAAGAACAGATGGGAAAAGTGGTTGAGAGTTTTGAAGAGTCACCCATTTGCAGGAAACTGGAGGGACCCCAAAATAGATGGGAAGAACAAATTCTGAGGGCCCCCAGGTAGAGCAAATTATGGAAGGCCCCTAAATAGACAGGCAGAGCAAAGGAGCCCCATTTTAGAGCAAATTGGGGAAGGCCCCTAAATAGACAGGCAGAGCAAAGGAGCCCCCATTTAGAGCAAATTGGGTGGACCCTGAATAGACAGGAAGCATAAATAAAGGTTCAGAATTAACATCTTTATTCCCTTCATATTCCATGAAACATTTAGCTATTTCTAAGTGAAGTGGAGACTCAATCCTCCATCTATTAATCTTGGCCTAGGCTCTGGTTAATCCCATTTCTTCACCATCTGTTATAATCTTCCAATAGCCTGAATCATAAAGCTAGTTTGAAACTACTTAATAAATTCCAATTAACTTAGATCACTAAATCAGATTAAAATATTAATATTTTTGCTACCTTTCTTTTTATAATAATGAAAAATTAAAATTTTGTCATTCAATAACCTATGTTTAGTCTTAAGTAGTGTGTAAACATCAGCATTAGTCTACTCAAAATACAAATGCATTCTACTGGCTTGCTCTGTGCTTAACAATACTTTATTATATGTAAATTATACTTTGTATACTATACAAAGAAATAATTTTTTTCTTGTTTATAGATGCTAGTGATCCTTAGAGTGCATTCAGAGGGAGTGGTGGTGGCTCGATTCTATGTCCACTAACCTTGGTCTAGCCTCTGGTTAATCAAGACAGATGCTAGTGACCCCCAGATATAAGTCTCCATTAGTGCAAACAGTGAATCTACAGTGGTTGAAATTATCAAATTAAAAAGAAATTTTTGTTTCTAGGTGTAGGTTGTAGACAGCAACCCCCAAGGTACTACCGTCTTTCCCAAGAGTGTAAAACGAAAGCTGAATTATTTATATATGTAGGATTGCTGGTGTCCTATTTTTGTCTAATAAACATGCAGGTTTCGGGGTGTGTCTTGCTACTTCTACTTCTTACGTCACACTCCCACATAAAAGTCTTCTTTCTTTACACACACGGCCAATCCCACTGAGGGGGGGGCCCAAAAGGAAAAACAAAGTTTTCCTTTTGCATTAGTAATATATACAGGAGAAGGGGTTACTAGACCCTTGCTCCCGGCATTTTAGTCGCCTCTTACAACACGCATGGCTTACGAAGGAAGAATTCTGTTCCACTTCCCCATGGAGGTAAGAGGAAATAAACAAGAACAAGAACTAGAAAGAAAATAGAAGAAAACCCAAAGGGGTGTGTGTATATATATGCTTGTACATGTATGTGTAGTGTGATCTAAGTGTAAGCAGAAGTAGCAAGACATACCTGAAATCTTGCATGTGTAACACATACATGTACAAGCATACACGTATATATACACACCCCTCTGGGTTTTCTTCTATTTTCTTACTAGTTCTTCTTCTTGTTTATTTCCTCTTACCTCCATGGGGAAGTGGAACAGAATTCTTCCTCCGTAAGCCATGCGTGTTGTAAGAGGCGACTAAAATGCCAGGAGCAAGGGGCTAGTAACCCCTTCTCCTGTATTATTATTATTTTTTTTATTATCACACTGGCCGATTCCCACCAAGGCAGGGTGGCCCGAAAAAGAAAAACTTTCACCATCATTCACTCCATCACTGTCTTGCCAGAAGGGTGCTTTACACTACAGTTTTTAAACTGCAACATTAACACCCCTCCTTTAGAGTGCAAAGGGACTGTACTTCCCATCTCCAGGACTCAAGTCCGGCCTGCCGGGTTTCCCTGAATCCCTTCATAAAAAGTTACTTGCTCACACTCCAACAGCACGTCAAGTATTAAAAACCCTTTTCCATTCACTCCTATCAAACACGCTCACGCACGCCTGCTGGAAGTCCAAGCCCCTCGCACACAAAACCTCCTTTACCCCCTCCCCCCAACCTTTCCAGGCCGACCCCTACCCCGCCTTCCTTCCACTACAGAATGATACACTCTTGAAGTCACTCTGTTTCGCTCCATTTCCTTCTACATGTCCGAACCACCTCAACAACCCTTCCTCAGCCCCCCTGGACAACATTTTTGGGAATCCCGCACCTCCTCCAACTTCCAAACTACGAATTTTCTTCATTTAATTCACACCACACATTGCCCCCAAACATGACATCTCCACTGCCTCCACCTTCTCCTCACTGCAACATTCATCACCCATGCTTCCACCCATAAAGAGCGTTTTGTAAAACTTACATTCCCCTCTTTGCCTCCAAGGACAAAGTTCTTTGTCTCCACAGACTCCTAAGTGCACCACTCACCCTTTTCCCCTCATCAATTCTATGATTCACCTCATCTTTCATAGACCCATCCGCTGACACGTCCACTCCCAAATATCTGAATACATTCACCTCCTCCATACTCTCTCCCTCCAATCTGATATCCAATATTTCATCACCTAATCTTTTTGTTATCCTCACAACCTTACTCTTTCCCTGCATTCACTTTTAATTTTCTTCTTTTGCACACCCTACCAAATTCATCCACCAATCTCTGCAACTTCTCTTCAGAATCTCCCAAGAGCACAGTGTCATCAGCAAAGAGCAACTGTGACAACTCCCACTTTATGTGTGATTCTTTATCTTTTAACTCCACGCCTCTTGCCAAGACCCTCGCATTTACTTCTCTTACAACCCCATCTATAAATATATTAAACAACCACGTGACATCACACATCCTTGTCTAAGGCCTACTTTTACTGGGAAATAATTTCCCTCTTTCCTACATACTCTAACTTGAGCCTCACTATCCTCGTAACCCCTTCTCCTGTATATATTACTAAATGTAAAAAGAGAAACTTTCATTTTTCTTTTTGGGCCACCCCGCCTCGGTGGGATATGGTCGGTGTGTTGAAAGAAAGAAGAAAACATACAAGATTTCAGGTACGTCTTGCTACTTCTACTTACACTTAGGTCACACTACACATACATGTACAAGCATATATATATATATACACACACCCCTCTGGGTTTTCTTCTATTTTCTTTCTAGTTCTTGTTCTTGTTTATTTCCTCTTATCTCCATGGGGAAGTGGAACAGAATTCTTCCTCCGTAAGCCATGCATGTTGTAAGAGGCAACTAAAATGCCGGGAGCAAGGGGCTAGTAACCCCTTCTCCTGTATAAATTACTAAATTTAAAAAGAGAAACTTTAGTTTTTCTTTTTGGGCCACCCTGCCTTGGTGGGATACAGCCAGTTTGCTGAAAGAAGAAAAAGATGTAATTTTTGTGCATTGTCATGGACTGGGCTGCAGGGGCGAATCCCCGGAATACCCTTCACGTAGGTAAATGATTTGAAGAATTTGGGGAAAAAGACTAGCATAAATTAATTTTGCACTAAATCAAAATTTGCTCTATTCAAGACCTGGCTGTATTCAGTAGGGAGTAGTGGCAGCTAGATCCTCTGTCCACTAATCTTGACCAAATCTTTGACAAGTCAAGATGCTAGTGATCAAATCATCTGTAATAGTGCCACTTCTAGGTCCATGTGGTGCTCAGGTCATCTGTAAGTGCCAGTACTCTAGGGCCATGTGGTGGTCAGGTCATCTGTAATAGTGCCAGTACTCTAGGGCCATGTGGTGGTCAGGTCATCTGCAATAGTGCCAGTACTCTAGGGCCATGTGGTGGTCAGGTCATCTGCAATAGTGCCAGTACTCTAGGGCCATATGGTGGTCAGGTCATCTGTAATGGTGCCAGTACTCTAGGGCCATGTGGTGGCCAGGTCATCTGTAATAGTGCCAGTACTCTAGGGCCATGTGGTGGTCAGGTCATTTGTAATAGTGCCTCTTCTAGGTCCATGTGGTGGCTAGATCACCAATAACAGTATCAGTATTCTAGGTTCATGTGGTAGTCAGGTCATCAGTAACAGCATCAGTAATCTAGGTTCACATGGTGTTTAGGTCATCAGTAATAGTGTCAGTACCCCATTACAGCACTGAAGGTTGTAAGAAAACTCAACAGCAGTGTCTGGCTCTGCCAGACTAGGCAACAGCTTCACCTGACCTAACTGGGAACTTTTTGTTCCTGTTTCTATTTTCAAAGGGAAGTTTTTGAAATGTAAACACACATTGTAACCTTTGCAAAGAAATAAACTTTTGATTTTGATTTTATTTTGATTTTGACAGTAGAGCCCTACTTACAATGTTAATGCATTCCCAAAAATTCATCACAAGTCGATTGTTCTATACTCAGAATATATTTTCCGATAAGAAATAATGTGAAGTGAATTAATGCATGCCTAACTTAATTTTCCATATCAATTTTATTTAAATTTCTGCCAATGATTTTTTTTATCCACTATTTTAGCTTCAATAGCATTTTTTAACTGCATGTATTCAGCATCTGAAAATAAAAGATTTTTTTTTTTTATTGAAAAGGGGTGTTTTTAAAACCATTATTTTTTTTCTTTCCAGTCATGATGCATGACTGTTCCAAAGGGAAAATTTCCCGGGAAAATACAGTAAAAAAAGAGGAAAAGGTATGGAAAGTACGGTCAATGTTTATTCCACCACCAGCCTAATAGTCACCAATGCAAAGGGTGAAGTCACTTGTTCGTAAGAAATTTAGGGGCCCCAAAATGTCAATGTGAAACCTCGTAAGTTGAGCCTTATTGTACTGCTTTTTCT